ATTTACTATGTGTTACAGTAGAAAAAACATTTACATGGATTTTTAAATTTAATCTCATAATAATCCTGTGAAATCGGAAATATTCATCAGTGAGGAAATAGGCTCAGAGAGGTTAAGTAATTTGTACAAGGTCACACAGCTGGGAACTAGAAGAACCCATGCCCTCTGATTCCAAGACCCAATACCCCTAAACCTGGGTGAGGCCTTAGTCATTCTCTTTCTGACTTGATCCATGAGAAATCTTTTAAAGTAGTGATTCACAACCTTGGCTGTACATTGATAGCACGGATTTTAAAAATATCTATGTGTGGGCTCCACCAATGGAGATTCCCATTTAATAGGTCTGGGGCGGGGCCCGAGCATCGGTATTTTTCAGTACTATAGCAATGAATAATATAGACAATATGTCTCTTCATGGTACATAAATGCTAATAGTGCTTAGATTCTAGTAACATCTGCAGGTGATTCCGATGTGCAGCTCAGACTGAGAACCCGTGATCAAGAGATTAACACACTTACTCAGAGGCCTTTCTCCAAGACCTCAGTGTGAGCAACTCAACTGGCTCCTCCAGAAAGGGTGGACAAGAGTCTAGCAGCAGCTGACAGGAGAGAGCAGAATCTAAGACAGTTCTAGCTTTCAGAGGCAGCAGTGCGCAAAGGGAAATTCACGGGCAGTGGAGTCAGCGAGACCTGGGTTCAAATTCCATCTCTGCTATTTATCAACTGTGTGACCTTGGGCCAATCACTTACCTTTTGTGGCTGTTTTGCAGATTTAATGGGATGATGTAAGTAAAGCTCCAGGCATATAAAAGTGTTCAAAGTAGTTGATGCTGTGGTTTTGGTTGGTTTTGTTGTTGTTGTTATTACTACTAAAGTGGCAATGATTATTGCTGGGAGATATCAGTAAAGGAAAAAAAAAAAACAAATTAAAAAAAAACTCTGTTTTTTATTAGTCATATTATTTCTACTTTTATTACTTAGCATTTAATTTACAGGTATTTATATTTGCAATTAGCTTGGCAGTCATATTTCTCATTCACGACAACTGGGTGAGGATGGTTAACATTATTATTCCCATTTTCTAGATGAGGAAAAGGCAACATTTTCCATCTATCCTGTCTCCAGCTTATGATTAAAGGCACCTGCAATCATGCTCATTAGTTCCCTATGAAAAATGATATTCAACACAGGTGTCAAATGCAGGAAAGGAGAATTAACAAGCACTTGATAGCAACCCCAAAATAACATCTAAATAATCACTTCTGAACATCAAAGTCATGGCAAACAAGTTCCAATTTAAATAAAGGTGTTGGATAGGATTAAGGAAAAATGAACGAATACATTTTCTTTATCTGCGTTCATTTAGGAAATGTCTGACATAGCTTAGAAATTCTTTTTGAAAATGCAGAGACTGCAGAATGGTTAATTTCCTCTATGAAGAGTCTTCAATTAGCAGGATGGAATAGACTAATGTGTCCTGACATTTTATCTTGAATCAGAGCTACAGAGTAAGAGCGATTTAAAATGAAAAGACCTGGTTCAGGGTTTCTCGACAAAGTTTACCAGGAAGCCTGCCGACTCTGCACAAGGGGCCCACCACGCCAAACACACACCTAGCACTGAATAACGGCTTGCTCCTGAATGCATTCCTTTTCATATGCACAGAATTTCCATGAACAAAATACAAATGCCTTTAAAAAGTACTAGTGAATTTACAGTCATTATATATAACTACTATTACCTGGAGAGGGGGCCTCAATTGCTTTTGTTGTTAAAAGGAGTCTTCACACTCAAAAAGCTTAGGAAACAGTGATCTAGTCCAAACTTCTCTTTTTACTGATAAAGTAAAGATCTTGGGGACAACTGAGATTCTAACCTAGGTTTCCTCATGGCCCTTGTCTCACATCATACACACCTTCTAGCGCAGTCACGGATTCAGGGGGCATTAGCAGTCATGGCTATCTTCTCTCTCTAATATCACTTCCTCTTTCTAAAGGAGGGCACAGTCCTACCCTTTCTCTGTGGACATGTTCCTGGAACTTTCTACATCTCCTGAGGCCCTTCTGAGCCTCTCCTTTCCCCTTCCTTCCCTCCCATCCTCAACACCCCAGTTTGGTACCTTTGGTTAGCAACACACTCAACCCCTCTCAAGTTCTGATGCTCTGGAAGTGCCTTTGGGCATTCATTCTCAATATGAAATGGAAATATAGTCACCAAGTTATGTATTTTAAAGTTATGTATAAAATCTGCATATATGCAAGTGCCTCTTACAGCTAAAACCCCAGTGTTCCTAATATCTATAGAAAATAAGAAAGTGGAATATTCATGAATAATCATTTTATCTACTCTGGATCTGTCAACACCAATAGGCTATTAAACCCCTAGCACACTAACTTTTCAAAATGCTTTCACGTCTATGATTTCAGTTTATTGTCCTGATGACTCACTCAGATGTAAGTACTACTGCAGTGCCGTTGGAAACTAAGAGATATGAGGAGAAGGAATGTCAGCTATATTATTCACTGCTCTTTCTCCGGCACCTAGAACAGTGCCTGGCACATGGCGGGCAGTCACTGAATATGTGTTGATTGCGTGAGTGACAGAAGTAGACTGGGATGGTAGTTTTATTTCTTGCCTTCACACAGTTCTGAGAAGATGAAATGAGTTCCTAATAACCTCTTCTCAGTCTTCAACCCTCCTATAACCTTTGACTTAACATCCTTCCCTCAAATATTTTTAATGTAATTTTTCAAAGTTATATAAGTAATATATTCATTTTAGGAGAATCAGATACTACCAACATATAAAAAAGGAGAAAATAAATGCCCCTTATGACCCTATCACCCCAGGACAACACAACATGCTGATGTACATCTTTTCAGACTTCATTCTATACACACACACATACCCCTGACACCCCTAGACTTTGTGATCTGGATTTCTTTTTCCTTTTCATTTGTTTCCTGTTGCAGCTCACTGCTCTCCTCCTTTGTCTGAAATATATTCCTTTCCCAATATTTAGGTCCTTACTTCAAGACTTTCCCCCTTTCTCCCTTTAGAGAATGTGTCTGTTCTTCCTTCGATGTTAAACTCTATGTGGATGTCTTCTACCTGTATCTTCAGTCCTCCCTCTTCTCTGGGATATCAGTGCTCCTCAAGCTCTATGAGTCTAAAACCCAATGCCTCACGTTCCCTCCACAATTGGATGACTCACTGATCCCACTTCTGTCAACGATAACAGGTTACCCTCAGAGGTCACCTTTGCTTCCCCAGTCCCATACATAGCCAATCACTTAAAGCCTTCTCCATCACGCCTTCCAATTCTCTCTCCATCTCTTCCCTTTGCTGCCATTAGTGTTCAGGCCTTACACGTACGCTACTTTCACCTCTCCCATCGTGCCCTTCCTCTATTCAGAAATCTGTGGTTGCTTCCCTCTTTCAGAATGGGATTCCAGTCCCTTCACAGACTCACCTCAGACTACTTTTCCATCCTTAGTTCTCATTATTCCTGAAAACAAACCCTTTGCTCCAGCCAGGCTGGTGTACTCATTATTCACCCAACTCCAAAACATCTGATTTTAAGTATTAAACACTTATTATGTATAAAACTCATTCATTCGACAAATATTTACTGAGCATCTATTTTGTCAGGTAACATACTGATGCTGCAGATACCACAGTGAACAAAGCAGACCAAGTCCCTGTTCTCATGGAACTTAGAGGCCAATGGGTTACACGGGAGATTCTGAGAAATTGTGATCCCAGCCCAGGATAATTTCAACCTTCCATTAAAGTGTCAAATGAATCAAGACATCCCTGAGGGCTGATGCAACCCCGGCCACAAGTAGGGAAGAACTTCAGAAATGAAGGGCTGCCCAGAGAGAGCTGGACTGTGGAGCATGGCTTCTCTGAAGATGTGGGACTCAATCCGGGCATGCAAGGATATGCGTTCAAAAAGTGGGTGTCTCCCCTCCAGGGGGATATGAGGAAAGGCACAAGGGTGGAATGGAAACAACAGCAATATTTTGTATTAATATAAAGGTTCACTCAACACCTATTCAGCAGAGCACACACCTGGCCCCTACACGGGCCTTGGCTCTGCAGTGGACGTGGGGATGATTCTGACTCAGCTCCTACTGTCAAGGGATTTCCATTTAGCAAGGAGGGTAAGGCAGGCCTGTGATGATCTATCACACACTCACTGAGAGACATTCAAACACAGGCTGAAGGAATTCCTGGTGCCTCCACAGCTCATGAAGGATACCCTGAGTTCTTGCATTTCTCCCCTGTCTGAATGGGCCTGCCTGGCACGGGCCGCCCTCGCAACCCGGAGGAGCTCACTAATCGTGAAGAAGGAGGGGATGGGTGGGGACGGCCAGAGGGCCCGAGCCCTGGGGTCAAGGGGAACGCAGCAAAGCTCCCACGCACTTCAGGAGATCGCTAATTGTTTCCCCATCTGGAGAATCATCGCGGGAAAGTGGTGAAAAACTAAGCTGGGAGAGCGCAAGTCTCGGGAGCCTGGGGGCCCAACCCCTGCACCGAATGCGTCGGGGAGGGAGGGAGGGAGGGGGGCGCAGGGGCCATTCGCAGCTTCGGGAACAGGGGGCTGCTTCTGTAGCAGGAAGAACCTAGGGCTGGAAACTCGCGAGATCTAGGGTCTGGATCTCGTTGCGTTGCCTAGCGACAGGGAGGACGCTCGCAGGCCCCCAGGCTAAACCCCTCAGTAGCCTTAAATCTCCTACCATGGGGGAAGAAGGTCGCGGCTGCAGCAGTGAGACCACTAGGGAGCTGCAGAAGCTGAAGCAGCAGGCGATGAAGTACTACCGGGAGAACGACGTTCCGCGCAGGCTGGAAGAGCTGCTCAACTCCACCTTCTACCTCCAGCCTGCCGACGTCTACGGGCACCTGGTAGGGACCTGGGACCAGCACCCTCCTCCCTCCAGCCCCTCTGCCCCCGCCCTGCGCTGCGGCAACGCCGTGCGCCTGCGCCGCAGAGCCGCGCCTGCGCGCCACGGGCCGGGCCCTGGCCCAGGTTGTGAGGAGGGGCGACTCCTGAAGGGAAGAAGCGGACAGGGAACCTGGGGGCGAAGGAATCTCGAGGGAGGAAGTGGCAGGAAGGAAGCAGCTAGAGGGAAGAGGCCTCAAGGCGGATTTGGAGCTGTGGCGACAGCTCAGGGCCTGCCTGTCCATGGCTGCCAGCTGTCCTCTAAACACAGACCTTAACACCCCCTAGCTCGGCTTTCCAACCTTCAGCAGCCCCCTTTTGACCACTGGATGAACGCCTTGGCATTTGCTACAGCTTGGCCTCAGCCTGCCCTGGGGCCTCGTGTGACTGCCTTTCCCTGCATCCAAGTGTCACTCCGGTTTCACGCTGTGGGCCCCCTCCTCTGCCTGGATGCCTGTTCCCACCTGAACAGCCCCTCCCCAAACTTCAAAATTCTGACCAAAGCCTTGCCCACTTCACCCTGGACTAATCGTCCTATGTTCCTATGGCTTTTCCTACGTGTATTGGGATCCTCTGAGGCAGCCTCTCTAGGCAGCTTGTGAGCTTCTGTTGAGGGCAGGGGCCTTTTCTTACCACCTGAGCCCCTGTGCCCAGTCCTGAGAGCTGGCACATACCTTAGCCTTAAGCAATGAGCAATTGAAACAAAGGCGAGAGTTTTCTCGCTTCCAGATCCTTAAACACTGACCATGTGGAAGGCTGCGGGATCGGGGCTGGTATGGGTTTGGCTGTGCGCAGGGAAAGCATGCAGGCAATATGACCGCACCAAGCAGAATGGTAAGTGCTGTGAAGAAGCACAATGTGCTGTAAGGGTTCAAAACCACATCTTGTGTTGCGGCAGTTGATATAGAGGATGCTGCAGGAGTGTTTTTTCCCCTCAGTCATGGCCTATCAAAGGTGGAGGGCGTGGTGTTTACTGAGCCCCTCGTGCTGTGTGTTTTATCTCACTCCTCAGAACCACTGCGGGGTAAAAATTACGACTCCCATTTTACAAATAACCTGTGGACCCGTTAAATTTAAATGATTTTCCCAAGGCACACAGTAACAGAAGAAAACAAATCAAACCATGTCTGTGTCCCTGCAGAGTGCATGGTACACAGGACACTCAAGAACTATTTGTGGGATGAATGAGTGAATGCTTGGCTCTGATTTCATTCTCTTTCTGCTGTCTCTTGCTAGAGGAATTCTTGGATGCTGTCTAGTCTAACTTCCTCATTTTACAAAAACACTAAACGATTGTCTCACAGGCTACTTAGTGCACAAGACTAAAAACGTGGACTCTTGTTTTCAAGGGTAATGTTCTTCCTAGTCTGTTAGGCAGCCAGGACATTGATTTGCAAAGCTCTCTGGGAGCTTATAGCTTACTTAGGGACAAAAGCCACTGATACATAAAATCATTAAAACAAAAGATAAGGTGACTGTGTGTTAGATCGAGGGAGACATCACTATATATGCCTATTAAAGGAATTCAGGGATGGAGGAGATCCCTGTAGGCTATAGTATGCAGGAAAGCTTTGGCTTGGAGTTTGAAAGATGCATTAGCAAAAAGGCAATCTCTTTTTCATTTTCTGTGTCATTGCCCTAGTTTTGGCCATCCTGTTCTCACCTGGTCTCTCCCTCTATTGAGTCCATCCTGCAGAGTGCTGCCAGAGCAATGTCCTAATACTCAAGTCTGACCATAATTCTCGTCCTCAGAAACCTCCAGTAGCTGATCCTTGCTTGCTGGCCTTCATGTGCATGGTTTGTAGTGCTCACAGCCCTACCTCTGGTGACAGCCTCATCTCTCACTTCCCACTTTGCTCCTCCGCACTGGATCACTGACTACCCCCTAAAGCCAGAAACTTACCACTTCCCTCCCTTTGCTTATCCTATTCCTTCTACCCTAGGTATCTGCTCTCTATTCCTCCATCCTTATCTGCCTGTTAAAGTTACACCTTCTCCAGTGTTCAGCTCAAATGCTGTTTCTTCTATACTTGTGTTATATAATAGAGGAATTCAGGCTGTAAGGTATTTCAGTGGCGGCGAAAAGACAGAGAGAGAGAAAGAGTGGGACCAAACAACGTGGCTTTATTTAGTGCTCCCGGATGAGGTTCTGGGGCACCAAGAGGGGGGGGGCCCAAGAGAAGGGGGGCCCCAGAAGTCACCTCCGTTTGAAGGGGGTGCAGCCTTTTATACTGTTTGGGTGGGCTAGGGACTTTTGGCAGGAAGAACTGGGGCTACCTTTGGTGGTCATTGAGAAATAAGAGGGGCTGGTGGTATTTGCAGAATCCAGAAGCCGAAACGTTCTTATCTGGGTGGACATCTGGGTGTGGTTTTTCTCAGCGGGGTCTGACAGTTTGTCCTTTATGGGTCTGGTCTGGTGAGTCTTTTTGATCTAGGGAGAGGAAGGGGGGGGGCGCCACCAGCCTTACGCAGGCAAGGGGATGATCCTTGTAGGCAGTAACAATACTATTTATTCCTTCATCATAAAACTTACTATTGAAAGAGTTTTGGATTGGAATCGGGCAGAAGTGGGTTTGATTCTTAGCTCTGCCACTTAACTAGCTGTCCCTCAATGAACCACACCTCCAGCGAACGCTCTTATGTAAGTCCCTCCCACGTCGACTCTGGACTTGGCCCTGTAACTTCCTTTGATCAATAGGACCTTGGCAAGCGTGACACAAACAGAGGCATGATGAGTGCTGGCGTATTGAGGCTTGTCTTCGTGGAAGCTAGTCATCATGCTGTGAGGATGTCTCAATTACCCTGCTGGAGAGAGACAGCATGTAGAGAGAGGCTCCAGCAGATGCAAGGCCCCCAGGATATCCTGTGAGAAAGACAGAGGCCCAGCCAGCCCAGCTGAGGCACTGGACTTGTGGGTGAAAACACCATGGATATTCTGGCCCTAGTCAAGCCTCCAGATGACCACATCTACATAAGAGACCCCAGGCAAGACCAGCAAAAGAATTTCCCAGTTGAGCCCTGCCCATACTGTAGAATCATTAGCAAATTAATGGCTTAAGCCACTGTGTTTGGGGGTGGTCTGTTACAAAGCATAGATAATTTAAAAATTGGCTATGTAATCTTGGACAGTTAATTTCTCTGGAATTCAGTTTGTTCATCTGTGGAATAGATGATGGTATCACCTACTTTAGAGGGTTGTGTTGAGAATTTAATGGCATGATGTATACAAAGTTCCCAAGGATGGGTGTGACATTCATTTATACAAGATTTAATTTAGGGAATCCTAAATATGCCAGGCACAGTGGGATGTGCTACAGTGATAAGGCATAGTCACTCCTTCAAAGTTCATATTAAACACTTAAAAAATGTTAGTTTCCTTCCCCTTCTAACACAATATGTTACACATGGTAGGTGTTCAGTGCTTGTTAAATTGAACTCACTATAACACACAAAGTAAAAGCTAAATAACATTTTTCTTCCCCAATTCTATCAAATTCATTTAGGCACTTACCCTGTAACATCCAAACCATTGTTCTTAAAATGCACAGATGGCTTGAAAATTGGCTTTTGCTTTCATTCTGCTCGGGCCTTACCTCTGAGCTGGCACATTGTGTTAGATGATCTGTTGTTTAAGTTGAAGTCACTAGATTTTGAACTGAAAGATCAGAAACCTGGTCTGCTAAATGAAAGCAAGGAACCCAATACTATAATACAATATCCAATACTAGTAATAAAGAGAGCAAGGAGGGTGCGCCTTCACTTTTCCTTCTTGGAGATCCTCCTAACTCCTGCTCCTCTGCATAGAAACACCAGACTCCTTGGTGGCCTTTCTACCTCAGCTTCATTCTGTTTCTTCAGTGTCTTTATTAGATTACCTCCAAATGGCTTCTGCTTTTCTATGTCAATGAAACTGCTATTACTGAGGTTCCCCAAAAGCTTCTCTGAACAGACAGGACTATGCATGAGTTGATGGTGAGTGAGATACAGCCACTGCATAAGTCTTCACCATTAGAATATCAGATGCCTTGCTGGGAGGAATGAAAATGGGTCCACTTTAGGTTTCTTAAATTTGAATGCATCACAGCATTATAGAGAACAATTGACTTCTGCATCTTGAAAAGAGGGTTAGTTTAGGGAATTGAGTTGACTATAAGGCCTCCAAAACAGTTACACAGGGCCTTTAAATTAAGAAACGTATGCAAGTTTCTGCTTAAGAGACCACAAATCGCCCCATGTAGCAGAGACTCAGCATCAGGCTGAATTCAGATCTCAGTAGGTGAGGGCAGGGCAGTTCCACAGAGCTGCTGCTAGTCTAATCCCAGCACCAGGAAGTATACCCACAGAGAAGTTTAGTAGAGACTAGGATAACTGGGAATGACCTTTTGAAGATAAATTAGATGTGGTTTTTGATTTTTGCTTTTTTTGTGTATGTTGAAGGCAAACCACTTTTCTAAATTGGCAAAGCCCCCTACCATTTACAAAATAGTGGGGAAAAACGTACTGGATGGACTGGGGCTTCCAACCCTACAAGTGGAAACATTCTGCACCATTCAAAACTTTCCCAAGGTATGAGGCAGTTTAAATGTGTTCTTTAATATGTCCTGGCCACAGTGCACTTGTTAGCAATTCTTGTATGAACTACAGAAAATTAATGTTTTGAAATTCCGTGTTTGTGAAATGTATACATACATATACATACACACTATTCATAGGTAGTCATGTAAGCATGAATCAGGTAATCAATCACGATGGCTTATGTTTCAGTGTAATTTTGGTACAGATATGACATATTAACCCCAAGATGATCCAACAGTGAGAAAGAAAATGACGCCAAAATAGTTTTAAAACTCTGACATTGGCCGGGCGCGGTGGCTCACGCCTGTAATCCTAGCGCTCTGGGAGGCCGAGGCGGGCGGATTGCTCAACGTCAGGAGTTCAAAACCAGCCTGAGCAAGAGCGAGACCTCGTCTCTACTATAAATAGAAAGAAACTAATTGGCCAACTGATATATATATAAAAAAAAAAATTAGCCGGGCATGGTGGCGCATGCCTGTAGTTCCAGCTACTCGGGAGGCTGAGACAGAAGGATCGCTCGAGCCCAGGAGTTTGAGGTTGCTGTGAGCTAGGCTGACGCCAAAAAAAAAAAAAAAAAAAAAAAAAAAAAAAAAAAAAAAAAAAAAAAAAAAAAACTCTGACATTACAAATGTGATGAGTTCTATAAATCTATATAGAGGTTTATAGATTCATATATTTACATATGGATTTATAATATGTAGATTGATCTAAATAAAGAAAATAATTCATTTTAATAGTTCTAACAATTCATTTTAATTTACTTTAATTGCTACATATTTGTTAGAAGTGATTTTGCTGCAGTCTCTGGGAAGAGAATAAATTATGATTGAATCTATTTGTATTCTTATATTTATTAGAGAGGTAATGATAAAAAAATGAAGTTCAATGTAGGGTTTTTATAAGGATATTTTAAGGAAGTAATAATTTTAAATGTTCCACGAAGTTGGGTTCCACAGTGTTTCAACAGCTATAAAAAAGATCTCAAAGAAAATTATATATTCTCGTTTTCCCTTTGAAATTGGTGAGAAAATATCATACACATTAAAAGCTGGATTAATTCAACATCTTATTTTCTGTGAGAGGTAGAGAAAATGTAGAAGATATTTATATAATTTTCAGAACATATGTTCTGTGGTGATCTCGACTCACTTCGAAGTCCACGAGGGCGCTGCGCCTGAGCTGGCTGACGTGGAGGAGGCAGAGAGGGCCAGCGCGGTCAGCACAGCTGTGCACTGGGTCAACGGCCCCATCTTCCAGGAGCTTCAGGGCCTCGTCCCCACCAACCAAGCAGCAGTGGATCACCTGCTCAGGTACAGCTTCCACTGTGAAATATAAACATCGGGTACAAACATGCATCCGTTGTCTTTCTATTCACCCGCCCAAAAAGCATGTCTGTCAAATCAGTAGAGTTGGGAAGTCAGTTTAAGAAGCATACGTGAAATCAGCCACATTTAGCAAAAAATACTGTTTTTCTCCTGAAAATCCTGTTATTAAAATCTTACTACGTAAGGCTACATAGGGCCTTTTGTTATCTTTTCATGCATAGAGCTCTCCTAAGATTTAGTAAAAAGTTTCTTAGAAAAAGAAATCAAGGCCGGGCGCGGTGGCTCACGCCTATAATCCTATCACTTTGGGAAGCCGAGGCAAGCGGATCGCCGCCCAAGGTCAGGAATTCCAAACCAGCATGAGCAAGAGGGAGACCCTGTCTCTACTATAAATAGAAAGAAATTAATTGGCCAATTAAAAAAATATAGAGAAAAAATTAGCTGGGCATGGTGGCGCATGCCTGTAGTCCCAGCTACTTGGGAGGCTGAGACAGAAGGATTGCTTGAGCCCAGGAGTTTGAGGTTGCTGTGAGCTAGGCTGATGCCATGGCACTCTAGCCTGGGCAACACAATAAGACTCTGTCTCAAAAAAAAGAAAAGATAAAAAGAAATCAAGTTACGAATCCAGAGGATGTCCGTTACCTCTCCCCATGCCCTCATTTGCCACCTGTGAGCTTCTCATGTCCTGTAATGTAGTCACAACAGCTGACGCTTATATTCTGTCTTCCAGCCACAACCAAGTCTTCCATGCTTTGCCCGTAGGTTGACTCTAACATTTGAAAGTCAGGGAAGCATTTATTAGGGCTATGTAAGTATTGTTCAATACCTGACCAAGTAATGGGTTAGAAATCCCTTCTTCTTTGTACAGGTCCAATGCCACAACTCCCTTAGCCAAACAAAGGTCAACTGGATTCTCTTTCCTTAAGCTTTATCACTTGCTTAATTGTGCATAATATCACATTTTAGTTTGCTTCTGAGTTGGATGGTGACCTTTGTAAAAAATGCTTTTTTGAATAGTTTTTCAGTTTGTGGTTTTCCTGGAGTTGCTCAATGCTATCTCTCTCTCTCTCTCTCTCTCTCTCTCTCTCTCTCTCTATGTATATATATATATATATATATATATAGGCCTTATCTGCTAATTATCATCTACTTAGTTTTTTTCTCAAGATCTCTGTTATACCTTCTATTTTATTATATTCCTTTCTTCCTGGAGTTTTCCCTCCCCAAACCTCCCATCTGGAATGGTTTCTCTCTAGACCTACTATGAGATGCCATAAAGACTTCATTATTCTCTTGTTTCTGGATCTCATATTCTCCTCTTTCTTCATTTGCTGGATTATATTCTTTAAAAAACAAGGATGAAAAAGAGTATGTAGGATGTAAAATTTTAGAGTTCTTAGATGTGTAGGAATGTCTGTACTTTGCCCTTGTGTTTGATAGTTTAGCTGAGTATATAATTCTCTATTGAAATCAACTTCCCTCATACTTTAAAAACATTGCCCCACTAGCATTTGGATTATTAATAAATATGATGCAGATCTGATTCTCAAGTCTTGTTTTTTGTTTGCTCATTTTTTTGTCTACAGAAGTTTTTAGCCTCTTCTTTTTATCTTAGGGGGCTGACATTTTATGTAAATGTACCTAAGGGGGCTTTCCCAAAAGTTTTTTTAAAAGCATTTATTTTAAGCACCCTCCTCCCAAAAAAAAAGGAAAAAAAGAAAGGAAGTCTTCCACATAATGCTGTATTTCACTGTTTTTTCTTGATGCACTTGTTTTCTGATGATCATTTATACAAAAAGAAAATCTAGTAGCCCTTAAATTATGTATTAAAATTTTACTTTAAAAATACAAACAAGCTTAAATAATTTTAAAAATTAGCACCTGAAATCTTTAAACATTTATTTCCAGGACAAAATAAATTTCAGTTCTTAAACATAGTTTTATAACAGCATCATTATTTTCTGGCCTTGGAAATTGAATCTTATTTGTTCTTAAGTAGCTAAAAATCAGAGTTATTTATTGAACTATATTGGGGTCAGCTCTAACATGACCAGAATTACAGAGCACTATACTTCAATATCCCATTGTAAAGCCGTGTATTATTGCCATTAAGGATATTCTTTGCAAATAAAGTACAAGAAGATAAGGAGAGAAAAGAATTGGAAATGAGCCTGGAAGACTCAACAGGGCCTACGCCTTTACCTCCAATACCACCACCCCCTCCTCCTCCTCCTACAAAAAGAAAAGGACAAAAGCAAGGTGAGTGGCTTAGTATCTTGCAGCACCCTTAGTAACAAATGTGTGAGGAAGAAAGGCTGAAGCTGGACTGCCTTTCTGGGTCTCTTTGCTGCAGACCGAGGTTGGGAACCCAGCTGAGAGCTGTGTGTCCTCCATGCTACTTCCTCACTGAAAGCTGCTGTGTGGGTGGGCAGGGTTGCACCCCACCCCACCCTCCATTTTTATTTGTAAGATAAAACGATTTCTCACCCAGAGGTGAGTACTTATTAAATAAAGTGCACTGAGCAGTGGCAATATCGTGGGTGGGGTGGAGGTGGGATGGCATGGGGAACCTTTCTACTCCCTTGAATTTCCATTGGCTAATCAAAAAGCCACTCCATACTTTAAAGAGTTTAAAGTACTCTTTGATATGGACAACCAACACTGCCTCAGTCCTAAGCAACATAAATAAACATTTTTTTCAGAAAACTTTATTATTTTAAAGCAAGTAATTGAAGTTATCACTTTACTTTGCCAGTTGCTCCATGCCTTCCAACAGATTGCTAACCTCAGCCCCTAGAGTATGTTAATTCTGGAGCTACTTCTAGTATTGTATCAGTGTTTTACATGTCTACTGAACATGTTTTTTGAGGGCATGAACCATGTGTCATTCAACTTCCCATTGCCCATGTCGAGCATGATGCCAGGGACAAACCAAACACCCAATAAATGTGAGTTCCATTGAGTAAGAAAGCACCAGAAACAGGAAGAGACCAGAGAGTCCATGGAGAAAAGGACCTTTATTTCGTAGATTCGGATCCTGAGGCCCATGTTAGGTGTGCATAGGAGAGCAGAAGAGAGGAGAAGAGAATTGCCCAAGGCAAAAGAATTATATTATATTTGACCAATCTTACCCTGGGAGGGTGGATGACCACTACTGAGTTATAGGTAGAGACCAGCAATGGATGTTCATTTGGTGGTTGCTTTTGAGTGATAGAACCTGGAACTGAAGGAGTTCAAGCTTACACGGCTATAGCTGCTGCTCAGCCGAGGAGTGACAGGAAACCAGGCTCTCCTGTGCATACCTAGAACAATACCTACTCCCTGCAACAGGCTGCTGTGAAACCAAGATGTAAGTGGACTGCATTTCCCACAGGTTCTTGCCCATGCTGCTGGCCTGGAAGATCCCCCACCCTCTCTGGTCACAGGCCCAAGGTGCCATTTTGAGACTGTAACTCTGTGTTGTGTCCCACTCTCAGGCCGAGTTCAAGGTGATGCAGCTGCAGCCACTACTGGACTGAGGAGGCACAGGGGAGCCCAAACTCTCTGATGCATACCTAACATTATACCCACTGCCCTGCTGTGGACCACTGGGCGACTGAGACTCACATGGACCGCACTCCCCACAGTTTCTTGCCCATGTTCCTTGCCTGAAAGGGGCCCTGCTCTCTCTGATGGCAGGGCCACAGAAAGTGCCATTTTGAGAGTTTAACAGTGGGCTGAGTCCACCTGTGGGCTAAGTTTCAGGTAACTCAGCTACAGTGGTCACCAACATGGACTGCTTGGGTCCCAGCAGGTGGCTCCACCACTGCACTGCCCCCACCCCCATCACACCAGCTTTCCAAGAGCCTGAGAACTTATCCACACACCTGGCCCTCTGCTCCCACTATTAGCTTCTGAACAAGCCATGTGGAGGCCCAAGAATTGGCCCTCTAGGACCCACTAACACCAGTGCCAGCATAAGCTGCCCTGGGGCCTAAAAACAGGTATACTTTGTCTACTGCTTCCACCACTGGGGCCCAAAGACTGGTTCAGCTGCTGTTCTGCTCCCCAGCAAAACTTCACCACAACTTCAACTAATAACCATATCCTAAGCCACCATGGAAATCATAGATATCACTTACCCCATGTACTGCCAAAGAAATACAAAGATCACACTACTGCAGGAACCCAAAATCAAAGTAAAAGTGTCCTACTCAATCAACAACATATGTACATCTTCAGTAAAAAATTCTTCCCTACAAAAGCAATTTCAATTCAACAAGCCATGATTTTTAGATTAAAAAAAAGCAATTTCAAAAATGTGGAATAAGTACTATACCAGATGCACAGGTATCAACAGAAGGACACAGTAAATGTGAAAGGGCAAAGAAATATGATACCTCCAAAGGATGACAATTGTCCAGCAATGGATCCAAGTCAAAAAGAATTCCTCAAAATGCCAGATAAAGAATTCAAAATATTGATTTTAAAAATGCTCAATGAGATGCAAGAGAAATGTGAAAACCAATACAAAGAAATGAGAAAACCAATTAAGTATATGAGTGAAAAATTTACCAAGGAGATATCTTACAAAACAGAAATTCTGAAGCTGAAAAATTCATTGAAGGAAATATAAAATACATTTGAAATCTTCAAGCAGAAGAAAGATTCTCAGAACTTGAAAGGTCTTTTGAAATAATCCAGTCAGACAAAAATAAGGAAAAAAATAAAAAGAAAAAAGAATGATCAAAGGCTTCCAGGTATCTGGGACTATATAAAACTTATGAATTATCAGTATTCTTGAGAGGGAAGAGAGATAAAAATGTTTAGAAAACCTTCTCAATGAAATAGTGTATGAAAACTCAAGTCTAAGAAGAGAGTTAGACATCTAGATACAGGAGGCTCAGTGATCCCCAGGCAAATACATTGTGGAAAGGACTTCACTACAGCATATCATAATCAGAATGTCTAAAGTCAAAGTGAAAGAAAGAATTTTAATCCCTTTTCAATAAATGGTGCTGGGAAAACTGGATAGCCACTTGTAGAAGGCTAAAGCAGGACCCACACCTTTCACCTCTCACAAAAATCAACTCACGCTAGATAACAGACTTAAACCTAAGGTATGAAACTATTAGAATTCTAGAGGAAAATGTTGGAAATACTCTACTAGACATCGGCCTAGGCAAAGAGTTTATGAAGAAGTCCCCAAAGGCAATCACAGCAGCAACAAAAATAAATGAATGGGACATGATCAAACTAAAAAGCTTCTGCACAGCCAAAGAAACAATCATGAAAGTAGACAGACAACCTAGAGAATGGGAGAAAATTTTTGCATCCTATGCATCCAATAAGGGGCTGATAACTAGAATATATCTAGAACTCATGAAAATCAGCAAGAAAAAATCAAATAACCCCATTAAAAAGTGGGCAAAGGACTTGAACAGAAATTTTTCTAAAGAAGACAGAAGAATGGCCAACAAACATGAAAAAATGCTCAACATCTCTAATCATCAGGGAAATGCAAATCAAAACCACAATGAGATATCACTTAACTCCAGTGAGAATGGCCTTTATCAAAAAGTCTCCAAATAATAAATGCTGGCATGGATGCAGAGAGAGAGGAACACTCCTACACTGCTGGTGGGACTGCAAACTAGTTCAACCTCTGTGGAAAGCAATATGGAGATACCTTAAAGCGATACAAGTGGATCTACCATTTGATCCAGCAATCCTATTACTGGGCATCTACCCAAAAGATCCAATGACACTCTACAAAAAAGACACCTGCACTCGAATGTTTATAGCAGCACAATTCATAATTGCAAGGCTGTGGAAACAGCCCAAGTGCCCATCAATCCAAGAATGGATTAATAAAATGTGGTATATGTATACCATGGAGTACTATTCAGCTCTAAGAAACAACAGTGATATAGCACATCTTATATTTTCCTGGTTAGAGCTGGAACCCATACTACTAAGTGAAGTATCCCAAGAATGGAAAAACAAGCACCACATATACTCACCAGCAAACTGGTATTAACTGAGCAGCACCTAAGTGGACACATAGGTACTACAGTAATAAGGTATTGGGCGGGTGGGAGGGGGGAAGGGAGTGGGTATATACATACATAATGACTGAGATGTGCACCATCTATGGGATGGTCATGCTGGAGACTCAGATTTGTGGGGGGAGGGGGGAAAGGACATTTATTGAAACCTTAAAATTTGTACCCCCATAATATGCTGAAATAATTAAAACAAAAATTTGAAAAAAAATAGCAGGAGAAAAGTGACTAGTCATCTATAAAGGAAACCCCACCAGACTAATAGTGGACTTCTCAGCAGAAACTTTACAGGCCAGAAGAGAATGGGATGGCATTTTCAAAGGACTGAAAGAAAAAAACCAAACTGTCAGCCAAGAATTTAACATCTTGCTAGAATAAATTTTATAAATGAAGGAGAAATAAAGTCTTTTTCAGACAAGCAAATGCTGAGAGAAATCATCACCATTAGACTGGCCCTACAGGAAATGCTCAAAGGGTCTTAACCACTTTGTGACCAGCCTATAGACTATAGGCTATATAGTCGATATAGTCGATATAGCCTATATAGACTATAGGCTATCGACTATAGTCAATAGCCACAGATGAACCAAGTGTCGACTTTAGCCGACAGCCATGATATGACTTTTCTAATTTTTCATTTATCAAAATAAAATTGTGAACATTTAAAAATAATGCAATAAAACATATATGTATATGTTACCTATTCTTATTTACATTACAAGTAAAGCTGCCTGTAAAGTAAAACAAACTTTCAGTGTTTTAAAGCTTTCCTCATCACACAAGAGCAAACCGGATTCGTCGTCAATGCACAGCACAAACTATCATGCAGACTATGAGTGCCGGCTGTGGGCAAGGTTTCGTAGCCGGTGAGTGCCGTACAAAAGTGGTTAAACATAGAAATGAAAGGTCAATATTCACCATCATGAAAACATACAAACATATAAAACTCACAAGTCTTATAAAACAATCACACAAAGGGGGAAGAAAAAAGAATTAAATGGCAATGTGATAGAATTTCACCAAACCATGAAGACAAAAAGAGAAAAAGAAAGTATAAAACAATTAGGTAACAATTAACAATATTACAAGGAATAAAGCCTCACATATCAATATTAACTTTGAATGTAAATGGATTAAGTGATCCACTTAAATATAGATTGGCAGAATGGATTAAAAATACATGATCCAATTATATATTGCTTATAAGAAACTCACCTTATCCATAAAGACACATATAGACTGAAAGAAAAGGGGTGGAAAAAGATATTCCACACAAATGGAAACCAAAAGCAAGCAGAAGTAGCTATACGAATATCAGATAAAACAGACTTTAAATCAAAGAGTAGAAAAAGACAAAGAAAGCCATTATATAATGACAAAGGAGTCAATTCAGCAAGAGGATATAACAATCCTAAATATATATGCACCCAACATTGAAGCATCCAGATTCACAAAACAAATATTACTACGCCTGAAGAGATAGACAGCAACACAATAATTGTGGGGATGTCAACACCCCACTCACAACACTAGACAGATCATTGAGACAGAAAATTAACAAAGAAACAGTGGGCTTAAATTGGACTTTAGACCAAATGGACTTAATAGACATTTAGTGAAATTTCTACCTAACAACTATAGAATATACATTCTTTTCATCAGCACATGGGATATTCTCCAAGATAGACCACATGTTAGGCCACAAAAGAAGTCTTAATGAATTTTTAAAAATCGAAATCATATCAGGTATCTTCTCAGACCCCAGTGGAATAAAGCTAGAAATCAATACCAAGAGGAACTTCAGAAACTACATAAATACACGGAAATTAAACTACATGCTCCTGAAAGATCAGTGGGTCAACAAGGAAATTAAGACAAAAATTTTAAAACTTTTTGAAACAAATGAAAATGAAAACACAACATACCAAAACCTGTTGGATATAGGAAAAGCAGTATTAACCAGGAAGTCTATAGCATTAAATGTCTACACCAAAAAAGTAGGAAGATCACAAATTAACAACCTAACATCAAACCTCAAGGAACTAGAAAAGCAAGAACAAAGCGAACCCAAAGTTAGCAGAAGAAATAACAAAGATCAGAACAAAACTAAAAGAGATAGAACCTGAAAAAACAATATAAAAGATCAACAAAACTAAAAGTTGGTTATTCAAAAAGATAATCAAAATTGATAAATCACTAGCTAGACTAACCGAGAAGAGAGAAGATCCAAATAAATAAAATCAGAAATGAAAAAGGATACAGTACAACTTATACCACAGAAATACAAAAGATGATTTGAGAATATTATGAACAGTACACTCACAAACTAGAAAACCTAGAGGAAATAGAGAAATTCCTGGAAACATACAACCTCCTGAGATTGAATCCTGAAGAAACAGAACTCCTAAACAGACCAATAATGAGTAGTAAGATTGAATCAGTAATAAAAGTCTCCCAACAACAACAAAAAAAGCCTGGGACCAGATGGATTCACAGCCGAATTCTACCAGACCTACAAAGAAGAGCTAATACCAATTGTCCAAAACAGAACTCCTAAACAGACCAATAATGAGTAGCAAGATTGAATCAGTAATAAAAAGTCTCCCAACACACAAAAAAGCCTGGAACCAGATGGATTCACAGCCGAATTCTACCAGATCTACAAAGAAGGGCTAATACCAATTGTCCTGAAACTATTTTTAAAAATTGAGGAGGAGGGAATTTTCTCTCATTCTGCAAGGATAGTATCACCCAGACAAGAACACAACAAGAAAAAAATGCAAACCAGTATCCCTGCTGAACATAAATGCAAAAATCCTCAATGAAATACTTGCAAGTTGAATCCAATAGCACATCAAAAGAATAATACACCATGATCAAATGGGTTTTATACTAAGGATGCAAGGATAGTTCAACATATACAAATCAATAAATGTGATATATCACATCAACAAAATTAAGGACAAAAACCATATGATCATCTCAATAGATGCAGAAAAAGCTCTTGATAAAATTTAGCATCCATTCATGACAAAAATTCTCAACAAACTAGGCATAGAAGGAACATCAAAATAATAAAGGGCATATGTGACAAACCTACAGCCAACATCATACTTAATGGGGAAAAGTTGAAGGCATTTCCCCTAAGAACTGGAATAAGACAAGGATGCCCACTTTCACTACTTTTACTCAGCATAGTATTGGAAGTGCTCACGAGAGCAATCAGGGAAGAGAAGAAAGTAACAGGCATCCAAATTGGAAAAGAAGAAGTCAAATTATTCCTGTTTGGTGATGATATGATCTTATATCTAGAAAACCCTAAAGACTCCAACAAAAAACTCTCAGATTTGATAAATGAATGCAGTAACATTTCAGGATACAAAATCAATGCATAGAAATTAGTAGCATCTCTATACACCAATAACAATCTAGCTGGGAACCAAATCAAGAAAACAGTGCCATTTATCATAGCTACAAAATAAAATAAAATACCAAGGAATATATTTAACCAAGGAGGTGAAAGATCTCTACAAGGAAAATTACAAAACACTGATGAAATTGTAAATGACACAAACAAATGTAAGAACATACCATGCTCATTGATCAGAAGAATTAATATCATTAAAATTATCATACTGCCCAAAGCAATCTCTAGGTTCAATGCAATCCCTATCAAAATACCAACATCATTTTTTTGCAGAATTAGAAAAAAACCAATTCTGAAGTTCATACAATACCAAACAAGAGCTCAAATGGCCAAAGGAATTTTGAGGGGTGGGGGTGGGGATGGGGGTGGCGGAGGAGGGTGGGGGTGGTGCTGGGAGGTTGCCTGGTGGGTACAATGTGTGTTGCTACAGGGATAAATGCACTAAAGGCTATTACTTTACTACAGTGCAATATATCATTGTAGTAAAATTGCACTTGTTCCCCATGAATGTATACAAATAAAAAATTCTTTTAAAAACCCTGGAACTTGGTCAGTTGTGGTGGCTCAAGCCTGTAATCCTAGCACTCTGGGAGGCCAAGGTGGGTGGATTGCTCAAGGTCAGGAGTTCGAGACCAGCCTGAGCAAGAGCGAGACCCTGTCTCTACTATAAGTAGAAAGAAATTAATTGGCTAACTAAAAATATATATATATATAAATTAGCCAGGCATGGTGGTACATGTCTGTAGTCCCAGCTACTCGGGAGGCTGAGGCAGAAGGATCTCTTGAGCCCAAGAATTTGAGGTTGCTGTGAGCTAGGCTGATGCCACGGCACTCTAGCCTGGGCAACAGAAGTGAGACTCTGTCTCAAACAAAACAAAACAAAACAAAAAAACCCTGGAACTTAAGGGAAGAAGTAGGAGGGGATAGGTTTTTGCTGAAAGCACTTCTTATGTGCTTACATACCTTATCTCCACTGCGGACCGACCATATCAGCAGCTGTGGGGGAAAGGACAAGAGGAATACTAGAGATTTATGGTGGACTCTGTGGTACCTGATCAAACAGGGTGGCTGAGAAAAATGTTAGAGTGAAAGATGGGTAAGTATGCTGTATGGATGGTTGATCTGGAAGGCATTTCTAAAGATCATAAACAATATAGAACAAGGCATTGGTTTGAGGTTAGTGAGAAAGACAGTAAGTTATTAATAGATATATGCATGAAGAGAAACTTGGCAGCAGCTATGGTGAAATATAGAAAAACCAGGGATTTGGAGTCCACAGATGCTTCAAATCCTCCCTTTATCCACTTTGTGCTACATATAGGGGAAGTCTCTTAACCTCTCTTAGCCATAGTTTACTTATACGTGAATAAAGGGTAAGAATATCTACCTCATGATTGCTGGAGGAGTTAATATTGAATGGCCTAGAATTTCTTAGAGAGGCAAAATCCACGGTTAAGGATTATTTGAGCATCACAGGTGAAATCAAACAGAAAACTTCTTGGAGGTTGAAGGGGAGAATATGTTCTCCCCAGCCTCAGCTTTCATTCCCCACCCCTTTTTTTTTGTGGGCCTCCCCATTTGTAAATAAAACATTTAAAAACACAGTCTTATTCTCAATATTTTTCCCTCCAGGAAGGAACGATGCTGTTTCAGAGAAACCTATTCCACCTGCAGAACCTGTTGAACCTGTACTCTGTGGCAGTATGGCCATAGGGGCCGTGTCACTAGCTGTGGCCAAAACCAGTGCCATACTGGGCAATAATCCTCTATACATAAACATTGCATTACTGAAGCACAACCAGGTTAGTACCTATGATGTTCCAGTACAGGGAGGCATGAGGTTCTCAATGCGAGTGAGCCCTATTTCTCATTTGCCCTTGCTTTCCCCCTATTTCAGGAACAGCCATCGACGCTGACTGTACCTTTGCTGATGGTAACCCTGGTCAGCTGTGGGAAGTCATCACCTGGGAAGCTAAATTTAATGAAAGAACTGATTTGTATACCCCATCCTGAACTAACCACCAAACAAGTACCTTATATTATCTCAAATAACTTTTGCTAAAAAAAAAAAAACTCCATCATTGGGTTTTTAGTGCAGCACCCTTGTGACACGAAGGGAAAGGGAATTAAAGATAAAATGGGAAAACAATATTTTAGGAAATCGGGGAAGTGGAAAGAAAGCAAGTCCTCAAGCAAAAGGGAAGACATTTAGAGCACCTTAGATGTCTGGTTCATTGCGGGAGTGACTCACGCTATGACTCACAGAGAAGCCATGGGAGAGTCACTGCAGGGCTTGACAGTGCCGGAAAGTTGTTATTTTAGGGAGTCCAGACCTCTTTATTTACTCTGCACTAGGCACTGTGGCAGCAGCCCACTCTATTAAGGAAGAACTCCAGGCCTAGCAGATTGCCCAGCACATAAGTGACATTTAGTGCATATTTATAGAATGAAGTGGCATCTTCACCACTCAGACGTGTGGTAGTGTCTTTATTGTCATCAGTGGCCTGAAAGAGTCAATATGCCTCTTTAAATCTTCATGAAATACTCTATGTACTACTTAGGTGTTAGGGAGAACTAAAGATTCAAGTTCTATAGTGGATGATTTCCAAAAAAGTACAAGAAGTTTTTCCCCCCTCTCCCTCCAGTAATAAATTGAGTGATATTTTATCTTAGTGGAAATCAGTAAAAATTTTTTCAAGATGATTTATCATAAAGAATTCTTTTTAAATAATTTTACCTCACAATTTATCAGTTGCAGAAGATTAGGATTTATATGTGGCTTACTATCTGTCAGATCATATTCAGAGCCTGGTGTTGGGAACTTTCCTTTAGTTAATGTCTGTTGAGTTCTTTGGGTACCAGAGCACTTGGGCACAAAGAATGGGCTTGCCATTCTTTGTCTTTGCATGCAGATATTCTCATCAGAACACATTTCTTTACTTTTTAAGTGACAGTGGATTTATACTGATTCAGCCACTCTGATCAGTGCCTTAGTGACCTGTGACATGTATATTGCAAGAAGGCTGTCCAGGTTGGTCAAGAGACCATTAAAGAGAGTGAAGTTGACTTGACGCAGCCAGTGAAACCAATCAGTTCTACACAATGAAGAGAGGCTACTGAGGGAGAAGAGCCTGCCATTCGCAGGCAACCTAGTGACGCTGAGGATTAACATTTCCTCTTCTGATTTGTAGATCACGTCATCCACTGACCAGGGTGACTTGTCAGGGACTCTATAAATATTCTGAATTAGAAATAGCCACATGTGGTACACAGTTTTATATATTTAAAATTTCTAGACTGTAATTATGTAAGACCATGGTCATTCTACTTACAGGGTGTGGAGATGCTTATGGAAATTCAGAAAAATATTATCAAAATCATTGAAACGGTATGTAAAGAGATGCTGTGGTATCTGGTCACTGACACTTGTACACCATCTAGCATTGTAGTTCATTTGGAATTAAATCAATATTGTATGAAATGTATTTCTTTGCTTTGGGGTTCCCATGTGAACCAAGTGTATACATCTCCCCATTGGCTATGGATCCAGTTTCTAATGATACTTAATCTCATTTCAGTTTCTGAGGCAGCTGGCTCTGTGCTAAGATCATCCCTTTGGGTATACAAAGAAAGAAAGGATTTGACCCCTAGGATGTGAGCAGCAGTTTGGCGAAGTGAAGGCACAGACTCTCGTGCCTGCATTAGGATCCCGGTGTTGGGCAAACAAGGACCTTTCGGCGAGCAGCCCTCTCAGGGGAAGTCACAGAGCAGGGTGCATGAGTCACCAATTGTCCCATCATATTCTAGCAGAGTAGTACACAGCCCTCTAGCAGGGCTGGGGCCAGGAGAGGGACCCAATCCTTGTCTGTGGGGCTTTTCATATATATATATATATATATATATATATATATATAAAATCTTTTATTTTGGACTATTGCATTTATAGAAATGTTATAAAGATACATAAAGAGTTCCTGAATACCCCTCACCCAGTCCCCCCCCCAATGTTAATGATACATTGATACATTACATGGTACATTTGTCAAAACTAAGAAACCAAAATGGTACTTTACTAATAACTAACTCCAGACTTTATTCAAATTTCACTAGTTTTTCCACTAATGTCCTTTTTCTGTTCTAGGATCCAATCCAGAATCCCACATTGCATTTAGCCAGGGGCTTTTAAGCAGCATGATTAGGAAGCAGTAGCATGGGGGCCCAGAAGGAAGGGGCCAGGACACAATAGCAGTAGGACATGGAGGAACTTTGGTTCTAACTCTCTTGCCAGCACCCAGTGTGACCGCAGGCAGGGGCACCAGCACCTCCCCTGCTGTGATGAGAAGGGGAGTGGCTGTGGCCCCAGCCTTGCAGTTGATGGGAACTGCTTTAAGCACCAGGCTGGAGCTGCTTTTCATGGCCCTTTTCAGGAGGCCAACTTCCTTCCTGGGAAACCAGCCTGGAGAGACTCAAACTTGGACAAGTTAACTCTGCTTTTTCACTTCCAACTCTGTGACGTTAGGCCAATTACATAACCTCTCTGCATCAGGTTCCTGATCTATAAATTGGAGATGATAGGTACCCATGTCATGAGGGTGACTGTGGGGAGTAAATGAGTTTACGATATGGAACATGCTGCCAACGGAGTTGGTGCAACATTAAGCCATACTTTATGGTAGTCGGAGCAGGTGGAGGAAATCCAGTTTAAAATACTAGGGAATTAAGGATATTGGAGCATTCTGCAATTCATCCTGACTTTAAAATTTTTTGTTTGTTTTTTGAGACAGGGTCTCACTCTGTTTCCTGGGCTGGAGTGCAGTGGCACCATCATAGCTCACTGCAAACTCAAACTCCAGGGCTCAAGTGATCCTCCTGCCTCAGCCTCCTGAGTAGCTGGGACTATGCGCATGCACCACCGCCACATCTGGCTAATTTTTAAATTTTTTTGTAGAGATGGGGTCTGGCTGTTGTCCAGGTTTTTCTCAAATTCCTGGCCTCCAGCAATCCTCCCACCTCGGCTTCCCAAATTACTAGGATTACAGGTGTGAGCTACCATGCCCGGTCCTGACTTTTAAATGTTTTATTTATTTTTTGTTTATATAAATAGCTCTTGAATGTTCTTGTGAAAATTCAAATACTGGTAAAACCAGCAACCCCTTACCGATTACCACCCTCAATACCAGCCCTTTTTCTGGAGATACCCACTGTTAAAAATTCAGTGTGGCCTTCCAGCCTTTTTTTTTTTTTTAATATACACAAAGAGCACTATGTTTAAAAAATATAAAAATTCTGTACAAATCATCTGCAAATTGCTTTATTTCTTTGCCCTTTTTATTGAGGTGTTTATCTTTTATTGGCATCTAAGGAATTCTTTATATAAGGAGACTTAATCCTTTATATGTTTTAGACTTTTTCCTCTATCATGTTGCTTGCCTTTTAACTATATTTTATGGAGTCATACAGATTTTTTTTTGATATAGTAAAATGTATCAATCTGTTCTTTTTTTTTTTTTTTTTTTTTTTTTGAGACAGAGTCTCGCTTTGTTGCCTAGGCTAGAGTGAGTGCCGTGGTGTCAGCCTAGCTCACAGCAACCTCAAACTCCTGGGCTCGAGCGATCCTTCTGTCTCAGCCTCCCAAGTAGCTGGGACTACAGGCATGAGCCACCATGCCCGGCTAATTTTTTCTATATATATTAGTTGGCCAATTAGTTTCTTTCTATTTATAGTAGAGACGGGGGTCTCGCTCTTGCTCAGGCTGGTTTCGAACTCCCGACCTCGAGCGATCCGCCCGCCTCGGCCTCCCAGAGAGCTAGGATTACAGGCGTGAGCCACCGCGCCCGGCCTTCAATCTGTTCTTTTAAGGCAGTTATTCTCAACCAGGGGTGATTTTTCCCAGGACACATTTGGCAAGTCTAGAGATATTTTGAGTTGTCTCAACTTGGAGGGAGGGGTTTTAACAGCATCTAGTAAGCAAGGATCAGAGATGCTGCTGAACATCCTGCAATGCACACGCCAGCCCCCCCCCCCACAACAAAGAATTATCCAGCCCAAAGTGTCAATAGTGCCAAGGTTGAGGAAGCCTGGTCTAAGGCTTTTGCTTTGTGTTTCTTGTTTAATAAGGCACTACCTATAATACTAATAATCCACAAGTATTTTTTGAGTTTACTAGGCATTAGCCTGAGCGCTCTTTTAACTCATTCAATCCTCATAGTTCTACAAGTAGTTACTATTATTATCCCTATTATACAAATTAGGAAACTCAGGGCCCAGCACAGTTAATTAACTTAACCAAACCCAGGAAGTCTGGCCCTAGAGTCCATGATCTTGATCATATGCTAAATCGACCCCAAATCATGGAATACATTGTCCTAACATTTTTATAGTTTCAGAGATTTATTTATATCTCAAATTCATCTGGCATTTATATCAATAGTGTGAACCAGGGATCATATTCCCATATTCATTCCTGGTTGACTTTTCACATAATGTTACATGTTTAAAAGCTACAGTGGGATCCTTAGTAATAGCTCCCACTAGCTCAATCTTATTTGAAGAAAAAGTAATAAAGCCTTTTACAGAAGTTCAGACATCAAAAACTACCACTACTCTGTCAAAGTCCCAAAGTTCTATGAGAAAGTTTTAGTTGCTAAAGATAATCTGGTGTAGTATAAAAGCAAAGAGATTTGGTTTCAGTTTTGGCTCTGCACTTATTAGCCACCACTGTGAGCATCTTATATACCCTGCTGATGCACTGGTTTCCTCATGTGTATGATTGACAAAAGCCTACCTTGGAAGGGCTGGAAGTAACGTGTGGGAAGAACCCTGAATTGCTGGGCTCCCAATAAATGGTGCCTATTTATAGAATACTAATCAAACATAGGAAGATGTTTAATCCTTCCCAGTAATTACAGTGATAACAGATCATTCCCAACATTACACCAGTCCTTCTACTAAATCTACATTTTAAATACATTTTGAGGAAAAAAATACTGAAGAAATGCTATGTTTTCTCATGCAGGAGCCAACCCAAAGCATGTCTGTAGATAACCTTAGCTAAAGCCATGGTCTTTAGTTTCAAAATAGGATATGCTAAGAGCGGAACCTGGTTTGTTGCAATCACCATGCTTTGTTTTAGTGATAAAGTGATAGTTCATGATGACATTATTTGGCTGATGGCATAGATTAGCAAGTCACCTCCTGCCAGATTTATTTTAGCATAACTGACTTTCCCTAGGAACTCCTGAGTAGGCTAATTCTTACTAAAGAAAAGTTGCATTTGTTTGTTTGGGTTTTCCGCCATTTTTAAACCCACGGAGACTGAGAACAGCCATTCTAGAACACACTGCATCTTGTATGATTAAAAAGCCTGGAGATTTTGGCTCTTTACCTTTATTGAACAGCTTCTCCTTAAGTTAGAGAGAAAGACGTTAGGGCTGTTTTTCCCTGGTGATTTTTTGTTGTTTCAAGGCCCCTGCTAGGTGCAATGGAGGATAAAAACATAGTTCCTGCCTTCAGGCAGTTTAAACTCCTGATTGGGAAGGCATAGAAAGCACATGAGACATTCAATAATAATGCAAACCAAGAATATTCTTCAACATTTGCTATTCTGAATTGGTGCCATTGATCATGCAGATCTTCACCTGGTCACATCACATGACTCACCTTTGCCCTTCTGTTCGGGACCATTGCATTTGCATAGAACTTCAGTGAGAATCACACCTATGCCTGACCAACATGCCCCACCTTATGGAGCCAGTACATGCTGAGCACTGAAGTGCTCAGACTAGAGCTTTAGCAAAGACTAGAACTTTACTATGATACTCATTCAATACTCCATCTCTTTGGGAATTATCTTTGCTTTTAACCTCAAATGATACTCCACCCATGAGATTTACCAGATTTAATGACATTGGCTGTTTCAAATCAAAGTCAAATCCACCCTGCAGGAATAAGAGAAAATGTTAGTACCCTGAGAATATTCTAAACTGTATGTTGGGCCTATAAAAAGGCAAATCTCACAGTGGTGTTATTTCTGGTATCCTCCTGCATAAAAGGATGCCTGTATGCAGCAGGAGTTCATGACATGATATGTGAATAATACTTTATTAATGAGTAGAAATGCACAAATCTGTATATACACACTCCATATATTGACTGGGGGTAGAGGGTAAGGATGAATTAAAGGGAATATGTGTCTGAATTTGAGAAATAATTTGGGGTATATAAAAGCAAGGATTAGCATAGTTCATGATCAAGCTGCTTTATGTTTTGCTTTTAATAAAAATATAATCTAGTGTTAATAGCCAAATTCTTTAATTTGCTCCAAGAAATAAAAACTCAAAGAAATTAAAATTAGATTAGCAGTTTGCAATTAATTTCAAAACTAAACCCTGTCCATTTTCCTATGTTAATAAAAACTTTATCTTTTTCTAAAAAAAGAAAAAAAAGTAAGGAGTGGCTGGAATCATTGCTGTGTGTGTGTATGAGAGAGAAAGCTAGAGAGAGAGATTCAGTATCAGGCCCTGAGCAGTGAACAGGCCAGAGGACCTGGAGCTCTGCTTGCTGCCACAGATGTGCTGAAATGCCCAACTGATGTTTTATCTTCTATCCCACAGCAACCTCCTCCAAAACCAGAGACCAAAAAAGGGCATGATGGAGGCAAAAGAGGTCAAGTAAGTAGATGCATGTTTCCCATACTTCTATACGAAACTGGGTAGTCTCTGCCCCTTTCTCTCTCCAATAGTCATTTTGCTCCAAGACCAGAACTAAAGCAAAATGGAAAACATACAGTGCTATTGCGCCAAGAGCACTGACCCATGTAAGCCCCAGAGGTGGAATATAATTCTGCCCCTGCCTTCTGGCAATAAGCTGCCTGGCCATCACTGCCAGCAGTTGTCCGGCCGGCTGAAATCTCAGAGGTCTTGGATGCATTTATGAGTAACAGGATTACATTGGACCTTATAGGTAAGTGTTTAGGAAGTTGAATCTCTCTGATAACTAGCTGAAAGACATATAGGATGTTTTAGGTTTTAAATTTACTTACTACTAAAGAGAGAAAGAAAAGGCACAAAAAGGTGACCATTCCTTCCACCTGGTCTCCAAAAGCACCACATCAGACAAAACATTGCAGAAACTCAGATTTTGCCGGGAGAGTCAGGCAAACAGTCCTCCTTGTGAAAACCGGCCACGCTGGCTTCAAGAGTCCTGGGAGACCAGCTGAACTTGATCAGTCAACCACTTTGGTGATTGTAATTGCTCTGATGGGTATGCTACTGTGTGCCTAAACATTCAGCAAGATAAATAGGGCAGCCAGGAAGAACTCTGGAGATCATGCAAATGGCTGAAGGTTGCCCACATCAGCAATATTCACGCTGTGAGCTAGAAATCCAAGCCCTACCCTGATGTCAGGGACTTGAGAGTCTGATGAAGTCAAAAGAAGAGGGGTTAGTAAAAAAAAAAAAAAAAAAAAAAAAAAAACTTGGTAAAGATAAGAAATTAAGTTTCTCCTCAAGATTGGGAGAAGAGAAATGTGAATAAACACACGGTAAGTAAAACGTGTTGTGCTTGTTGGAATGAGCACAGCACTCTAACATTAGGCCTTTCAGGAGAGGTGGGCGCGTGACAAAGCAGCCAGTTCTCAGTGCCATTCCCTTCGTTCCAGCAGGTGGGCTTATGTGTTCTGAGAAGCTTAGACCAAGATCAGCTCTTGCCATTATCAATTTACTACTATTACTATTTTTTTCCTGTTAGAAACAGGTTCGGTATAGATCCCAGAGAGACAGCCACACCAGAATTATGGGCACAGACTCTGGGGCTAAACTGCCTGGATTAAAATCTGCTCCAGGTTACTTAACTCTGTAAAATGGAGATCATAATTGTACCTGTTTCGTGGTGTTGATGTAAGGAGTAAATGTATTTACTTTATGTAACATGCTTAGAACAGTACCTGGCATTTAGTAAGCACCAAATAAGTGATGCTTTCACAGTTTAGAAGACTCCATAATAAAACGTAATTGACAGGCAAAAATTTCCCCAATTATTGCTTTGTTTGCTAAATAAAAGTTTCCTCTCATTGAAATTAAAAATGTTGGATGGTCCTTATAATTAACTAGCACTATCACCAGTAGAAACAGAATATTTATTCCTGGGTTCATGTTCGCTCTTGAGTTTGGTAAACACACACACACCCTTAGCCCTTAGAATCACTGATATTGCATCAATTTATAATTGCATAGTAGCAATTTATGGTGAGGGCACACCATGACTTGACTTTGTAAGAGCTGCCTTTCCCTGGGGTCATTTGGTCCTAAAATCTGCTAAAATCCATCCTCAGTTCTGCATCCTTTTATTGGAAGTGTTTGATCCTTTTAAAAATAACACTTTTCCTGAAGGAGGATTATATTTTTAACAGTTATCTTCATCTAGAGGTAAACATAACATAGGAAAGAACAGGTTTGGAGGAAGAGGACTGACACAGTTAGGGACAGCTTAGCTGGACATTTACAGGGAGAGCCTGGAGATTCACCAACCCAGTGGCTGTGGCTCAGGTTAGCCCATGTGCCATGAATGGCAGAGCTGATAAAGCAATAACATACACACACTAAAGAGAGAAGAGTGTGCTCCCAGGTCAAACTCAGAAAACTCAGAAGAAAATCACTCTCAGATACTGCAAGAGAACCATATGCCCAAAGTCATGTGAAGAGGATCTAGAAAGAAGTAGGTTTAATAGAGAATCAAAGAATCTGTCTTTGGAGAACTGTATCTGGTTACAAACTGTGCCTGTCACAGGAAGTTCCAAGGACTTTGATATGCTCTGTTGACATACATCATTTTCTTTTGATCTTGCAGCAGCCGATCACTGGCAAGATGTCCCATTTTGGCTGTTTAACCATTAACTATGACACCATAGATCAGCCACTGCTTCTACTACAGGGGATCTGTGCGAACTTAGGGCTGGAACTGGGAACAAATCTGCATCTAGCCATCAACTGTGCTGGACACGAGTTGATGGACTATGTAAGTTTCCACATCAGAACATTCACTTCGTGTTGAGGTCCATGATTTTAAAATTAGAACTCAAAAGAAGCGCTTATCTGAATATTTTCCACACAGAACCTATTGTTCTTTTTCATTCCTATTGTATGAGGGGTCCAAGTATAAATGGAGTTAAGAAAGCCAAATTAGCCAATGACACCACAGAATAACATGACTTTTTAACAACTGATAGCACAAAATGTTATAATTACATGTAGACATTCCATAATAAAATGAATTACTTACATTGTAATTATGAAAGCTATTGAAAAGTAATTTAACAAACTGGTGTGACAGTCATTTGGTTGGTAAATGCTGAATTTATCAAGCCTGAAAAGTGGATCAGTGGTAACTATCACTTGACAGGACCTTCTAGACATGTGTTTCTTAGAATTTATGCTGTGACTCACTTTTTAAATATAAAAATATTTCCAAGTTACTTAAGTTTATGAAGAATATGTTTTTGCCCAATAAAACACATCACAGTGTGATCCACAGCCTAGATTAGGAGGACAGAGCCTCAGTGATGGAACTTCACCTGAGGACCACCCACCTGAAAAGAGATATTTAAAAAAAAATAATGGACAACAGGTTCATTAAAAAATGTCCAAGTCCTCACTTGCTCAGGGTAATACAACAACAATTTACTCTTAAACTTGGAAAACTGGTATGTTAGGAAAGTCATTAGAAATTTTCTGTCTAACACATATACATGTATTTTCCTTCTTTTTTTTTTTTCTTTCTAATTTTATGAGACAGAATCTCACTATGTTGCCTGGACTGGTCTTGAACTCCTGAGCTCAAGTAATCTTGCCGCCTCAGCCTCCCAAGTAGCTGACTTCCCATTTTCAAATACACAAATGCTGAGTCTAAGTTTTATAAAATGCCTGGCATGTTGACATGCATTTATGGTGACTTGGTAATTAATGTCAAATTCAGGGGGCATGACCAAATAGGATTCTGCTTTAACTGTGATTCTAACTTTAACTACAAAAGAAATTTTGAACAGTATATAAGAACCCTAAATTTCAGCTGACTTCTAAAGTTCTTTTACTTTTATAAAGAAACTAAGTGCATAATGGAATGTTTAAAGTAATTTTCTATTCACATAATGATTGGTTCCCAGGCATACCATTAAGAAAAATAATTGCATGTTTTCATCAGCAACATATACCAGAAACTATGAATATACTGACTGTTGGTGCTAACTAAAATGGGTGTTTATTACTTATATTCAGTAAAATGTATTAGAGCTTGATATATAACTTTTACAATAATGTTAGTTCAAAGTCATTAGCATTTTCTCACTGACAAGATAGGATTTTTAAGCTTTGCATTATATAAGCTAAAAAATTCTTGCTTTTTAATGTGAAAACGTATAAAATCCCTTCAATTATAAACTTCTTAGGAACCTGCTTAATTCCAGTGGAATCTATTCTATTACCAGCAGCAGCAGGAAGGCGTTACAAACCAAACAACCCCTCTGTTCCATTCCTCCTCCTTCCCTGTACCTAAATATCCCAGGTGCCATCCCTGAACACAGACTTGAAAGTAAGGGTGCTTTGTTCTGCAAAAAGATTGCACCAGATGCTTCAGCCCTGTTTACTTCTATACTTAATGACTTGGGGAATTTCCAGACTTCAAATGAATGGTGGTTGCACTAGAATTCTACTTTCAGGACAATATTGTTACTACTAGAAGTTACATGCTACCTGAGAAATGCCTTCACCTAAGTCACTTTACATTTCATACTGCTTGTATCTCAAATGCCTAGCCCTGCTATTAAATTTTAGAATAAGTTACAGTAAAGGAAACAAGTTAACTTGTCCATTGTGAGTTGAAAGATGGTGGGGTCCAGTGGGCAGGCTTGCATTGCTGTTTTGTTTGTTATTTTATGCATTTATGCTATGGTCCATCTACCCAGGCAGCCAGGTGTCTGGCACCACATGGAAAACTTACATAACAAACTATTCCCCTCCTGCAATCTTTCCCCATTTGTTTTCTGTGCGAAAAGCTTCCTCTGAAGTCTATGGAAACAGCCCTATGGGGCATCAAGAGGAATGCTGACTTGACTTTCCCAGGTTAATATTTAACAGGTATTTAAAGTAGAATGCATAGATTTCCCAGGTGAATGTGGCCTGAAAAGAATCTGTTTACAATCTCTTATATGAAATGAATGAAAAGGAATTTGAATCACATCTTTAACATTTTAAGAATTCATTATTTATCCTTTATTTTAATATTTCCCGTACACATACCAGAGTAAAGGAAAGTATGAAGTGATGGTGGGCACATATAAAAGTGCAGCTGAGATGGTTGACCTGTATGTGGATCTGATCAATAAGTACCCTTCAATCATTGCCTTCATTGATCCTTTCAGGAAGGAGGTAAGCAGGACACATCTTTTATATAACATATATTTTGTGTAAGATAGGCAGGATTCACTTTTCATATTTTATAACAAAACACAAAATAAAATCTCATTCTTTTGGATCTCTGTCATTCTAAATGTGTTGTAATTTGGGCTGGGGCTGAGTCGCTTTATTTTGGCATTTATGAGAAAAGGCACTTACTAAGCAAATGAATAGCAGAAACACAATTACCTAGGAGTATGCCTGTCTAGAGAATGAAACAGCTATTCGCAAGCCCTTCAGGAGTACCTGTGTATTTACAAGCAACCTAACTGATGGCAGCCGCCCCCACTGTGCTAGCTGGAGCTTCAATAGGTTAATCATATACCATTTTCATGTGCTCAGGGAAACAGGACTTCTGCAAGGCCAAATATTTTTTTAACTTAAATCCAGTCACTACATATGCACAAAAGCAACAAAGCCATATTTTTAAAAGGTTTGAGACATTGAGGTTTTGTGAGCTAGTCAAACTAATGCATTTGACAAGGTTTTTACATACAATCTCTCCTCCTAATCCACTTAAAACTAACATCAAAATTTAAGTTCTTGATTGTATGAATTTGAGAATCATTGGATAGGCTGAACAGATATACCCAACAGATGACCTCTTTGAGATAACTATTTAGACTTTGGGGACAATATGAATGTTGGATCTCACCTGGAGCCCACAGGGTCTCTCAGTCCCATCCTCCCTTTTACCGCCCATGCTCCACGCCAGCACTCACCGAAGGCACCCGCTGAGCTCAGCTCTTCAGTCCCACCAGAACAGCCTTGCGAGGATTGCTCTGAGGCTCTGACCACAGCTTTGTGAACAGGAAAGGATGCACCTGTGTGGTCTGTTCTAATGGGACAGGCTGAAATCTGGTACAATGGCTGGGATGACTTATGTATATATACATGCACACAAATAAACAAACATACACACATAATTTTAAAATATGCATTTCATTTCATATGGTCATCTCACCAATAAAAATGATACTGAGAAAGGGCCTAAAATTCTTGCAGGCTCTTTTCTTTTTCAGTTTATCAGAAATAACAACAAAAAAAATCTATCTAGCCAGTCTTTAGCAACATTATGGATAATACAGTGCAGGAGAATAGCCTCTGCAATCAATGTGGGAAATATCATTTAGTGTATTCACATTTTACTCACAAAATCTTTAAGCTCAAATTTAATCATTAGGTTTCTGTTCCACGAAGGTTGTTAATTTGTGTGGATGTGGTACAGGGACCATTCAGGCGCAGAGGTAGAAGAAAGCTGTTTTGTGTATCTCAGGAAGAGCATATGACTTTGATTATGTGCTGTATTAGTCATATTGTTTTGTGATTATGTTCAATACATTATAATGATCAATTCTTAAATATTTACCCAGGACTCTGAACAGTGGGACAGCATCTATAATGCACTTGGTTCCAGGTGTTACATAATTGCAGGAACTGCATCCAAAAGCATTTCTAAACTTCTAGAGCATGGAAACATCAACATCCCCAAATCTAATGGGCTGATCATAAGACATACAAATGAAACTACGATGTCTGACTTGGTGGAAATAACCAATCTTGCTGACAGTGAGTAACAGTACAGATCTGAAGGACTCATCTAATGAGTCAGTTATACAAGGTGGCAAAAATATGCAGTATACCAAAGTTAATAAAAAGCATGGAAGAAATCTTGGAAGAAAAGAAAACCCAACAACTTGTTAGAGATTTAGGGCTGGAAAACAAAATTCAACTTACTGACCCTCTTCACAGTGTTCCACTAGCAGCCCAAGTCCATGAGGTCATCCCCTTTACAGAGGGCTACCACAGAGGTAGGGCCAAGGCCACTGCCCTGTCCGCTTCACAGTGGGGGGGGGGGCTTTCTGCCCCCAACAGGAGCTCTGAGCATGACTTCTTCTGAAAGGGCATATTCTTCAGCATATTTATCAATTTGCTTTTGGTTCTGAGCTTCAGCTACAGAAAAGTTTTAAATTTAGAGAAACCCAGAGGGATACCCCAGCCCTTACTGCCATAGAACTCCTGGTTTCCCATCTGCCCTGGCCAGGTTTCCAGACACAATGTAGTGTGCAAGCTAAGGAAAACAGTTTACCATGCACAAAGGCAATGTGTCAAGCACAGCCAAGGGGCAGCAGGGACAGATATGTTGAGCCTACATCACATGGCTGCAGTATTGTAAACTCCCTCCTATTATTTACTATCACTTTATGCACAGATTCGCCTCCTCAGCATCTTAACAGGGACCACAGCTCTTTCTAACACATAGGCACAGCCTAAGCACATGGTAAGGGTATAGCAATTACTTGACTGAAAATAAACTTAGCTACTTGTAACATACCCAGACACCAGGGTCTATTTTAATTTGCACCAACTTGGGAAAGTCTAGGAGGGATCAGAATTTGGAACTAGATCACCCACTGCAGGGAAAGGGTCTATCTACTTCAGCAGTTAAGGAAAGAGGCAACAAGAAGATCCAATCAGAAAAAGCAGGCAATTTTGTCGGTGCAGAGACCTGAGGTAGGGGTAGGTTCACTACTAATAGGAAGCACTAGGAAGCTACCAAGCAGATCGGCAAGGCAGTGGAGCATCACGGAAGCTTCTGGAAAGCAGGGCCTTACCACTGAGCTGGGATTTAGAGGCAGGATCCCAGCATCAGGGATTAGGGGATGATGACAGGTGAAAAGCAGGGCTTCAGTGCTGGCGGGTCCAGGATGCCAGAGGAAAGTAGCTTTATTTGGTACCATGGGGTAAGGCATTTGAGAATTGGACTTACTCCTTACAGCAACCCTATGAAGCAGACACTGTCATTTCCACTTTACTGAAGAGAAAACGAGGCTTGGAGAGTTTAGGTAACTTTCCCACAACACTATAGTGATCCCACTTGCCCACGCTAGCTTTTTTAATTCCTTAAGCTTCAAACTCTTGACTACCTTACAGCCCTTGAACATGTTCTTCCTTTGGCCTAGCATGCTTTGCCCTGTGCCACTTACTTAGCTAACTACTCCTCACCCTTCAGGTCTTGACTCAAATGAAATGTCTTCAGGTACACATGTATCCCCTGCCCTGAACCTTCCTCACAGCATCCTATATTTTTTCTTTGTAGCACTGGCCACAATGACTCACACAGTTATTTAATGGCTGGTGTCCCTGAGGACACTGTAAATTCTCTTGAATTCGTGGGCATCTTGTACACTATACACAGTGCTGGAAATCTAAACACCAGGAATGGGTTTCAGGAAGTAAGCAAGAGGAGAGTCTCAGACATGCAGCAGGACTCAGAGCCAGACTGGCATCCAGGGGCCTGGGCTGGTGCCAGAGGATGGAAGGAAATGCCCAGGTTTGTGGTGGATGGTAGGCCCCAGTCTGGCCTTTCCTCCTGGGCCTACCACTCGGCAGCCATTCCATCCTTCAATTCGGTGCACTGCTGTAGATCCTTAAAACATGAACACTGTCACTATAGGAAAAGCTCGGGCTGGCACTCTTCGTAGCCTGGCAAATTTCAAAGAATTTTGAGACCCTCAAATGATTAAATACTACCAACACTGCTATTCTAATAAACATGCAGAATGACAGAGTCCTTTGAATAAAATTCTACACGATGAAGCGAGAAAACCGTTATGTAGGTAGGCATATCAACTCCACATATGTTGCTGTTACCATATTTCATTGACTCAGAGATGCACATTTTTCTACATTGAATAGCACCAAAATTGAATCGTGTCTTATAGTTGTGGTCTTAGAAATAAATCAGTCTAATTTGAGCCTTTCTGCCTTTTTAGTGGCAATAAAATAGTGGCACATCTTACAAATAAGGTATCTTATACTTGATGAAACATGGTCTTTGTTTAGTACTTCTAGCATCCAAGCTGCTGGGAAGAGAGGTACACAGATAAAATCAGGACAATAAAAATGCAAATGTTAAAATTCATGATAATTGAATAATTGACTCTTCACAGGAAAAATTTTAAATTTCTGGCAAATTTTTAATTTTGATTCAAGAGCTCATATATAAATGCTAATTGCTTCTACACCATCTAAAACGGGAAGGAATTCCTCTTACAGGTAAGAAGCACATCATCTTTGGAAGTGCAGAAGGAGAAGCGTCTGATGACAGCCTTGTCGATTTGGTAAGTGCTGGACGCTGGTCAACTGCAGAATTGCCAAAACACTGCTTTTATCATGAATTGGTATTTCAGAGAAATGCAGTCTTTGGTGGAGAAAGTCATGTAACCTTTTATGAAATAGATTTGCTTCCTACCAGACAGCTACCTTTTGCAAAGAGCTAATCTTTGAACTTTTAAAAAGAAGAAAAATTGAAGTCCAGAGAAAATGATGAGCACACTTAAATGACTGGGGTGTTCACTTGCAATCTTCCCTCCTAAAATGAAGTGAGAAAGGCCAGAATGTTCTTAGATGAAATCAGCATGCCTATAGGACTAGTAAAGCGCCTGATGGATAGTCAGTCACACCATCTGTTTGCCTTTCAACACTCTCAGCTTGTGAGCGGGCCACTTTGCTTACCTAAAGATAAAATACTAAGTTAGAAGAGAAAAATTCCAACAGCACACCCTGACAGTTTCCTTTCTCCTTAATGAACTGTGTAGTTCAGCAAGACATGACTCCCCCATTTAAAACAAGTTGTTTTCCCCTTTTCAGGCTGTTGGGCTTGGTGTCCGGTTTATCAAGTTGGGGGGTCTTTCTCGTGGTGAACGGGTGACTAAATACAACCGCCTTCTTACTATAGAGGAAGAACTTGTCCAGAGTGGAACACTGGGTATGCACAGTTTCTTGCTTTGTTTTCACTTAGCCATGAATAAGAGAACAAAGACTGGAGGAGGGGGAATAGAAGTCCCTCCGCAGGAGGGCAAGGGAATCCAAAGACCATAAATAAGTGCTGACAAAACTAGGATGGCACTTGCCACAATGTATATTGTTGTCCTAATGGATTATCTATTTACCTGAATGTTTTAAACTCTCGCCCTTTTTCTTGCTGAATAGGCTGCGTGATGCTTTTCAATAGAATTAATTGATCGGAATCTCCAAGCCTCGCTTTTGTTATGGTCCAAATTATACTTAAGGTTTCTCTGCACAGCTCATGAAAGTTAAAGGCAGATGTTTTCCTGATGGTTCTTGGAAACAACTTGTTTTATTTAAAACAAGTAGGCAGCATGTTAACATTGTACCTTGGAAAAGCTAAGGTCTCAAGAGAAATGAACCAATCATTGATGAAATCAAACCTTTATAAATTTGTATGGTTAGAAGTACTGAGTAACTGGAGAAAAACGCCCCAAATGTGCAATTTTTTATATTACTGAATTAATGGCCAAAAGGAGGCACATAGCATGGCATGTAGAGACATTTAAAGAGACAATTATAAACTTGTCATGTTTAACATACGTAAGGATCTTGAAATGCACCCTAAGGTTCATAGAAAATGAAGATGGGAGACTATTTCTGAGTCATGTAAGTAAGAGCTATCAAAAAAGTTAGTATTGTTTACATTGTTCCACATGCCATCTGATTATTTTTTATATCATCCTGACTTGTAGAGGCCTTAGATTCCTTAAATGACCTATCACATTTCCAGCCAGACTTTACCACAAGGGAAGCAGCTGCTTCGGGGCATCAAAAAGGACTCTGGTGACCGGAGGCCCAGCCCTCTCTGGTGATAGCACAGCTGCCTCAGTATTCCAGAATGGATTAACAGGATAATGAGAATTCCTCTGACATTGGCAGTGGTGAATAAATGTTAAGGGAACCAAAAACTGGAAAGACAAATCCCTTCACTTTTCACTTTTGAGCAGGAAATCTTGGCAAAAGCTCAGCCACTAAAATACCATCATTATTTACATGGACCTGCCTGGAACAGGCAAGTGTGCCATCGTTTACCATGGAGCAGTTACTTGGCAACGGTTTGTGTTCATGTGCAGGACTGGCTTTTCTTCTAGTTCATCTTCTTCTTATCCTTTTCTGCTAAACTTCTGCCCAAAGTCCGCTGTACATCAAACATTCCAAAATATTTAGAGTACAATGCAAACTGAACAGAACAAACATATTGCATAATTTATGCATAACCAAAGACAGGCCCAGTTTTAAATGGTTCTGGAATCCTTTCTGGTGGTGAGGTGACACATCTGCACAGTTCTGAGGATGATCTCGTTCAAATCATGTAATAAACAAAAACTGGCACCATTGGATTAGACAGTAAACTTTATTGTTGCTTTTTCTAAATACAGGTTTCAACGAAGAACACACTTTTTTGTACTTTAATGAGGAAGCTGAAAAGGCTGCCGAGGCACCTGAAGTGCTTGAGCCCCTGGAGCCCACCTTCCCCACCGAAGTCGTAAAGGAACCTCACAAAACACAAGCGTCTTTTGCATAGGGCTGGTCCACACCCCGGTCCGCAGCCACACCGTTGTTGGTATTATCGGACCAGCAGGTTTGGAGTGTGTCTCCACAGTGGGTTTGCTCTTAAATGTCACTAACTCATGTGTTCTTTTTCTTCTTTGAATTTCACTGTTTGGTAAATACATATGTGGTGTTTTTGCCAGAAATTGTATATGTGAACTTTGTTTCCCAACCATCACATTTCCATGGGGATTTTATTTGTGTGCTTAGCCCTACTGTCCATCTTTCAGGGTCACGGTCCAGTAAAAGAGGTCAGTATTTTTGCTACCAACTCCACACTCAAACACCTTATCCTTTATAAATCAGAACACCTCTGAAAGCAGAAGCCTAATGACACCAGAAGCACTCTGTGCCAGGAACAGGTGTACATCGTCTGTGTTTATTGTATACATATGTGCTGGAAAGCACAGGCACATTTTTATAGTCAAGCTTATGCAGAAGTATGAGAGCCTCACTATTTTTTGTAACATTCCAACAACTTCATCTCACTTTCCTGCCCTTAATTCCCTTTTCCCTGATTCCCTCCCTCTTTTTAAGTTTTAGTTTTTCTTGCATTATTATCTTTGTGAGTCTCCTCAGATCCTTTCTGGAACAAGAATGGGTATAAATGAATAAGCACATCAGTGAATGAATAAATATTCTCAAGGTTATTAAATGCCCATTTATACTGCATTTAAAAAGTGATCAGCAAGTGATTAAAAACAATGTGACATACATGCTAACTGAACTGCCTCTTTTGTAAGCCAGTTATAGCAGCAGTACCAGAAATAAACATATTCAAACACATACATACATAGACATAATAATGTTCCAAGAGCTTTATATGACTTAAGGTCTCTGTTAAAAGTGTTACCATTTGTCTTTCCTAAAAATTATATAAATTGCTATGTAATGACCTGCAGGAGAGTGGCTAAGTTTAGACTTCTGGTATATTCTATTTACTAAGCACACTGAGGACCTCTCCTTTTGAAGAGTATTAAGAGGGAAACTTAATGTCCTCGTGATAGGGCCAACTCCTTACTCTCAAAGCTATGATTTGAAATGGGTTCAGTGGCTGACTCTCTCAGACCATGGGGCAGGAGAACTGGTATCACTCTAAGTTGGGAGAACTGTGTCCCAGTTTATGGTTGCCACTGCCTCTCCTGATGCTTGGCAGCAAACAATGGGGCAGAAGAAACTGGAAGGAAAAATCATTTTAAAGGCAGGACAAACATAGCTGGGTGTTCACATAGCCTTTGCAAATGTCCTGACTCTCTCTCTCTCTCTCTCTCTCTCTCTCTCTCTCACACACACACACACACACACACATGAATCATGAGGGTACACCCTAGAACTATGATATAAATCATAATTAAATTAATGAAACCAGAACAAAAATGTGCAGTAACAAAATAACTAAATTAAATTAACCAAAGAAATGATTTATTGCCTTAACCAGGTCAGCACTTTAATCTCAACGTACAGTACGGTCTACTCACCTATCCTCACTTGAGGACCAGGCTCACCAATGGATAGGCAGCATTTTATCTATTTTTTAGAGATGGGGTCTCGCTCTGTCATCCAGGCTGGTGTGCAGTGGTGTGATTATAGCTCACTGCTTGAACTCCTGGACTCAGCCTCCCGAGTAGCTGGGACTACAAGTGCATGCTACCACACCTGGCTAATTTTTAATTTTTTTGTAGAGACAGGGTCTCTCTATGTGCCTAGGCTGTCTTGAACTCCTAGGCTCAATCGATCCTCCTGCCTCAGCATCCCAAAGTGTTGGGATTATGGGCTTGAGGCACTATACCTAGCATTTTAATGCTAGGTATAATTTTAATTTAAAATTAAAATTATAGAATTTTAATTTAAAGTTCTTAGCAGGCTAGGCACTATTTCTATTTATATTTTCTCTCTCTCTGTTATATATGATAAAAAGCACATTTATAGGACAATAATAATTATCTGTAAAATAAATGATAGGAACCAGTCATACTCGATATTAAGATAATTAACAATAATTTTTACCTTTACTACTCCATTTCCAACAAACATTTTACTGTGAACAAAGAAAGGAAGGAAGGAGGAATTACTGGTGAGTAGTCAAAGCCAAAACATCCATTCCTTTCACTGAGGCCAAACAAGGCTGGGTGCTACCGGCCCTGCTGGCCTCTGCTAGCCAGAACTTCCACGGGACTGTTCAACTCCGAGACGACTGCAGGTGAGTTTACGTGAGATGCGCTCGGATGCAAAAGGGTGCAAGAATTTTAATTAAATTCTCATTTTTTTAGAAAAGCAGGAGGCCTTTTTTTTTTTTTCTTTAACAGCAACAGCATGAAGTACTCTATCCTTTTGCTTCACCCTGGCTATAAAATGCATTAACCTTAGTTAAAAAAAAAAACTCTGCAGCAGAAAAGACTTCATTTATATTTCCAAAATGGAAGGAAGAATAAATAACCTTTTAGAAAAAACAAAAACATAAAGATGCAGTCCTTAGGACTTTAAATAGGATGTATATAATTTTGTGTGCAAACAGCTAAGAACGTACCTTGAAGATACAAGCACTCCTATGTCTTCCTCTCCGGGATCAACCATTTTTGTTGACGTCACCCCAGCAGGGGCAAAACCTCCTCAAAACTGAGGTTAAGAGGAAATATTGTAGGGAGAAAAAGGTGTGTAAATATCCTGCATCAAATACCTTTATGTCAAATTAATTTAAAATGCTTTGTAATTGCGGGGAAGGAAAGTAAGCAGCTTTAAAAAGGCAACGGCACTTTCAAAATACCAGATACTAATTGTTGCCTGGTCCAGCTAACACATCTCACCAAACGCGTAACTTCTTACTCTGGAAATGAGAGTGTTCTGATAACCATTTTATTCTGCGATGTGTGTGATGAAATACAGAAAGATGCCGTACATCTTTTTATATTCCTAAATGTATGTGAGATGCACACCAGCAGACAGATGGCAGATGCAGGAAGGAAAACAGCATGAAGAATAAAATTCCTCAAAATAAACCATCTTGGGGACTATTCAAAATTACTCAAGTTATCAACACTCATAATTTTCCTATTAAAGAATGTCAAGCTTGAGGAAGTAAACCAAAAACATCAATAACCACAATTGACCCTTAATGTGAAACTGTTGGTGCTTTTTTAATAGGTTGTGGTGAGGAGAGTTCAAATCACAGCATAACAGAACTTGTTTAAGTGAATTAATGCAGTCTGTAGCTAGTATATCATATAGCGGTATTATCCAGTTAAGGAAAAATACAGGTTGAAAAACATTACATTTTAATTCCCCATGAGTCAACCGTAAAATCATCACCGGGAGAACATGGAAATAGTTAAGCATAACGAACCTACAGAAAGATAATTACCTCCAAATTTAGGAAGTACATTTACCTGCCTACCAACCTCTTCAAGCCTATGCTTAGCACACGTGCAAAAAAATACAATACAACTACTGCAATTATTACTATCATTTTCTTTTGCCCTTAGGTGAGAAACACCTGACAGCTACATGCTGAGCCATGCTAACAAAACTAAACCTTTCACTTTCTTTAATAGTAAAATTACCATTACTGAATCATTGTCATAAAAAGTGCATTCAAGTACATTACCACTTATTTTAAATAAACACCAATTTTGAAACAATCAACTTGGAAAAGCTGCATAAGTTTTTTTTTTTAATCCCTGATTACATTTCTATTTATTCACTGTGGTGGCCTGAAACACTGTATTTTTAGAGACTAACTACCACTTAATTTCTTAAAAAAAAAAACAAAAAAAAACACACATACACACAAACAAACCTGTGTAATATAGAACAGCAGTGAAGCAAGAAAAATGTGTGCTTGTCACTTATCTTCACTGTACATAAGAACTGTGATAAAATATGGTACTTGTGCCTCATTAGTACATGGGAAAACACAATTAACTCATAGCATAGAGCACATGGTTTACCAAGATATTACTGTCAAATTCAAGGTTTGTACTTTCACCTCAATTCTGTATTCAGGCCATCGGAGCATCCCCACTGAGGTCTTTGGGAGGCTTTGGACACAATCAATAGCATATATTTTTCATCCAATAGTTAACAATCTGCGTAATTAATATTGACTATAGAACTACCAGTTTGATGCCAGCTCCTGAGTTTGAAGCTTATCCCAGTCTCCCCTAGAAAATAACTTGTATGCCACAGTACCCAACAATTTCCATGCTGCTGCAGTTTCTTCATCAAAAGAGGATCAGACTCAAAACAGAAGCTTCTTTGGGGGCTTTTAAAATCACATTAGGTTGGGCAGTTTTGTTTATCCAATTATTCACAAGCACTTCAAACTTTCAGCATTCCATATGATGAGTGGTATGCACATTTCCTAAAAAGACATCAATTATCTGAATTTTGTATAACCTTCTAAAAGAAGTCATACTTAATACGGTAACTAGGAACAATCTTACCCCTATAAAGATCGGAAAACAAAACTACTTAGAATGTGTATTTTGCTAAACAGCTTATTTACGTTTATAGTTGCTACTTACAAAAGTGACACCAGAAAAGAATCTGTATTCTGAATGCAGTGACCAGAACAGAACGTCTGTAGCCCTTGCCAATACACCAAAACTAATCACGTGCTTATTGAAAAGGATTTCCAAACTGTCAGCCTTCTGGTTTACAGATCAGCAGTTGGAGCTGTCTGTCTCTCTCATTTTTTCAACGCTGTCTTCTTTGTGTTCTGGTTTAATTTCGCCTTCATCTTCCTTGTGTTGAGTTGGATCTTTTTCAATGACCTGGTCTTTGGTTTGGGGTTCATGTGTGGAAACAGGATCTAAAACTACAACTGGTTGAGCTTGTTCTTCACCGCCAATGTATTTTCTCCTGTATCCAATGCTACTGGGAGGCCTATGGGATGAAGAGTTAAACAAAAAAGTAAAAAGCAGAGAGAAAACAGTTGTCTTTCACATTCCTGGATTCAGACCAATAAAAAACCCCAAATGTGCTAAGTCTAACCAACATGCACACAGTAGTCTCTGAGATGCCAGCCATTTAAAAGAAAAATGAAGCTATTAGATTACATAATAGGAGCACAAGGCCAGAAGAAAGAAGGCGGAGAAGTCAGAGCAATTAACTACAAAAGTATTAAAAGCCGAATGCACCTACCTGCTTAATTGCATTTCTTCTGAGGAAGTGCAAAGCTCACAGACACACTGTGCATTCGTCCGCACTGTCTGCAGCCCAGCCCGTCCTGCCCTAGTTTACACCCTCACTCCCTCATGTCCCTGCGTACAGCTGGTTGCAGGTCTGCCCTAAGGAGTCTGCACAGACTAGGGGAAGTAAATCACCCCTGGTCACTGAAGGACGGTGAGAGCTGTGCCAGCTGCTGCCATTACTGACCGGCAGAGACCTGGTCAGACCTGAGGAGGAGCGGGAGAGGAGCAAGGGCGGATGGGAGAGTCACAGAATAAGCTTAAATGCTAAGTTACCATAAACTCTTCTAAGAAGGAGAATCGGGTTTCTTGAGAAATTTCTTAATTGAATTTTAGAGGCAGTTTCTTTTTCCACAGAAGCTTCCTTTCTTCTCTTCTGATGCAAGAAGCCATTGCTTCGCAGGCTGAATGAGTGACAATTTCATTGTGGAAACGGATACTCCCAAAACATTTTCTCTTGCCATGTGCTAGGCAATGAGGCTGTCCGCACCCAGTCCTCTCAGCGGCCGTGGTCAGAACCCCCCCTCCGAAAGTGCTGGGCTGCTGACTTGCTGCCTGAGGGCTGAGGCAGCTGCAGTGGGCAAGAGTGGAGCTCTTGGGCTTTTCTAGTCTTCCCGGCTAATGCTAGGATCAGGCCTCTTTGTCCCAGAGAAGTGACGGCTACCCATGACCCAGCACA